AGCATATATTGTAGTTATTGAAGATTAGACTATGAAGAAGAATCAGTTTCTAGAAGTTATGAAACGTTGCCCATAAATTTGCCAATCTAAAGAATACTGGTAAAATAGAGTTCCCAATTGCTTATTTATTTATATATTCTAGAACTACTGTGGATTAATTTTAACAATTAAACATAATATTTATCTGTGTGTTTGTTAGTACGAAACCACTCCAATTTTTGGACTGCTCATCCCGTTATGAAACAGAATTTATTTCCCTTCCCTGTACATCTGAGCTGGTCTTGTGACCGGCTTTGACAATAGAATGTGGCATAAATGAACATAATCTTTAGGAAGACTGGCAGTTTCCATTTTCACTCTCTTGGAAGCCAGCCTTCATGGAAAGAGGCTTGGGCTACTTTGCAGATAATGAGAGAGCAGATGGAAAGGATGTCTTTGTGAAAGCAACACAGGTTATCACAGTCAACAGCCAGCACCAAAGTCTCAGAAATGTGAGTGGGTCCATCTTGGATACTCATCAAACACCGTACAGCCCACAGACAAGTCATCCCTACCAAGCCCTGACCAAATTCCTGGCCCATAGAAATCATGGACAAAACAATAGTTGTTTTAAGCTATTGAATTTTGGGGTGATTGTTACACAACAATAGATAACTGCAACATCTATTGTAGAACTTACTGTTAAATACTGTAATTACTTATTTACTTGTCTATAAGCAAAAACAAAATATTTTCATCTGAATAAATGCAGCACCTGACATACAGGAATGCTTTAAAACAATGATCCCATGAAAAAATAAGAGTTCTCAGGGAGATCAGTGTGACAAGATAAGCCTTGTTACATTGGGGATTTTTTTTAAGGAAATGAGAACTGAAAAATAAAAGGTACTAGAGAATGGTTGTAGAAGGGAAGAAAGAGATGAAAATTCAGAGCAGTTGAAGGGGATCTCCAAAACTTACAATTTATGAATTCTCCTAGTAATTGGTGAGATCACTGACCTCTGCCTCCATCAGTGTGCAGCCCCAAGGAGCCCTAAAGACATGAGTATTTACAAGACCCTGTCAGGCAGCTACCACTGTGCACAGGTAAACTGTCAGTCATGGCTCCTGTTCTCCAGGAGTATACACTGTAACAGAAAAGCAGATGTACCAGGACACTGTGGGCCTCAAGAGGACATGGAGACTGGGGAGAATAGCAGGCTCAGTGTTAGTGGTTCTAGAACGAGAAAGGATCTCCGTGACAAGCTGTGTCCGCCTTATCCCTTCACGTAGCATCTACGGGAGCACCCGCTGAGCCACAGCTCTCCCTCTCCCTCCCCGAGCTGAAGCCCCACCACATTGAGAGAAGCTTCTCAAATGTCTCCACAGCCTTTGCACTTTCTTCCCCTCCTTTCTGGAATGCTTGATGACCCGTGCTTCCCATGCCTTCACCTAGCAACTCTTACTGTCATCTCTGGGCCTCCTCTCCCTTTTCAAAAATCATTTGACCCCCAAGAATGAACTCCCCATTTGCTCTGCCACTCAATATCCAGTCTGAGTCCTACTGGCTCTGCAAAGCCGTCACTGATCAGCCTAACCTGTGGTTTCCTAGAATGTACTGGAAAGAGAACTGGCTTGGGAGCAACATGGATTTGGATTTAAATCCTGGCTAAGCTGGTTGTGATCCTGCACAAGTTCCTTTATCTCTTAGGTTTCTTCATTTGTAAACTGGTTATAATCCTACCACTTCATGTTTTAAGGGCATAGGAGACCCCTACATTAAGCCCCATCCTGGCACGTAACACAGCATTGATATGTGTTATGTTTTTCTCCTCTCTGAATTTCTGGTACTTAATATCCATACCACTCATTTGTTTTCAATTCATAACTGCTTTGTGACAGCTCTTGACCTTGCACTATTATTTAACTCTAATATTATTGTTTAATTTTAATATAAGCTTTCTCCTGATAGCCAAATTGTTACATTTATATACCTTTAAGTATCCCAAGGATAATAGATTCTTAATAAATATTGGTGCATGAATGAATGAGGAACAACCTCTTAAGGCTCAGTACAGTGGATTTTGAAAAGCTACTACATTTAGGGTCAAGAACTCACTGAATTAGAGTAACTTTAACTCTTGGACATTTTTTGTTTCCTGGGAAAAAAATGATTAGGGAAAAGTTCAAAAGTTCTCCTTCATCTATATTGTCTATATAGTGAATAAAATGCAGACCCCATCCCAAAAAGATACTTCAGAAGCAATGCAGTATTAAAAGCAATGAAGACACAAGGTCTACAGTCTTTCTCAATTAAAATATATGGCCAGGTCAAAAATAATGAGTGGGAGTGAAAGAGCAATTATGTGAGTAATGATCTCCAATTAATTATATGGTGTTTAATAAATCAATAGGAAATTACAGGAAGTATCAAGTTTGGACTAAGACAGTAGGGGCCTTTCCACCTGTTATGTGGATATGCTCAGGAGGAGAGAGAATGAATCCACTATGACAATAGCATTCTGTTCCTGACTGAGGATCCATCCATCAGAAGCAAGAGGTAGCATGACAGATTAGAAGGGAACAAATGAACAGACATAATCAGTGATGAAAATGAATTCCAGTTCATTCTCAGGTCAGGTGCAGTTAAAAGGGGAAACAACAGGCAATAAGGTCAGGCTCCAGAAAAGATCCAGAAAGGAATTCTAGAAGATTGCCATAATGGAAAGAGTCTCGCCCCCTTGCCAACCTTGAGGTTGGAATAGTGAGTTGACCCCAGTGTTAGGATTTTTTTGTTTTATTTTATTCTTTGTACTTTGTTTTTCCTTATTTATTTATTTATTTATTTATTTATTTATTATTGAAGTATAGTTGATCTACCAAATTAAGTATGCCACACAGTGTTTCACTAGTTACATACATTATTAAAAGAGCTGGGGTGTTGAGACCAGGCACCACTGGAACAAAGAGGAGGAAGTTTCCTGAGAGACTAATAGTGATTTTCATACTGTCTTTACACCAGAGAACTCTTTGTTCAGAATCTCACAGGGTCCCACAATATGCAAAAGAGACAACTGCGTTGCTCTAGGATTGTAAATAAGCCTGAAGAGAGAGGGAGAGGGGTTTTAGGAGGAGCTGGTGGAATTTTAGGTGCTGCTTCACAGGACCTCAGGCCTGGAGGAAAACAATGGGGAGACAGCCGGCTGAGGATATCAGAAACCCTTTATGGATTGCTTTTGTTAACTGGCAAGGTTTTTGGTTAAGACCCAGTTTGTTAAAGATCCCCAAAGCAAAATGTACTAAAACTAGTAAGTGAAGATAATGATAGTAAAGACAACTTCATTCACATAGTGGAGGGGAAAACAGGATCTTGTCTGCCATACCACACTAAGATCTCAGGATGGTTTATTCTTTCTGGAAAATATTATTTGATGCATAAGTGAGGCTCTTAGTGGAAGTCAATTTCAACTTAGTAGCACCTAAATCTGTCTGAGGCTGGAGGTTCTGGACCATCTTTGAGAAAGATCTGCTCTCAGGGGAGCCTCCAGGGCCAAGGATATTTACAAGACTGTAATTATTAATGAACCTGTAGGATCCTGGGTTTCATACTTACTTAGGAGTGGCTGTATCGATCCAGCTCAGTTTCTAACCTCAGCCATTAGAAGGTGGTTACAAAAACAAGGTGATGAAACAGAAGAACATGTTTGAGTGCATTTCTGCCCAAATGAGAGCCCTCAGGGTCAGAATGGTCCAGAGGGTATGTGACAACAGTTCAGGGCCAATGAGCATCTTAGATAGTAGCCTTCTGGCTTGACACTTAGTGGCAAAACAGATGGTGGCTATTGTTATGATTGCCCTCATGACAACAATAGCAGCTAAGTGATTTCTCTTCTTGTTACACTAGGTTTTGTATATTCAGCTGGGAGAGGCCAGGCCTCAGGTCTTTGGCAGTTACTTCTAAGGTTAGTAATGCCTTTTGTTAAGATGGGACCACAGGCTTTTCACACACACCCCAGGCTCCAGAGGGCCCCCTGCACCATCACCTCTTCCATCTAGACACACAAATTTAATCAACTATGTGGTGGAGTGGCCCCCAGCCAGCTCCTCCTGTCCTGTGATCTTATAACGATCTGACCTTTCCCCTGGGCAGCTGCTGGCTCTCAGGGGCTAGACCAGTGATGGAGGACTGCTTGGGTTCCTGCCAGCTTCTTGTTTCCCAACAGTGAAGCTACCTGTTTGGCCATGCTAATTTGCTCCTGAGGCCAGTGAGCTCAGCCCTGAGCCTCTTCTCCCAGCCATGGGCCCAGGTATCATGTCTTGTTACAGGTACCTCTCAGACCCAGGCTTCCTCTCAGAATAAGCTGACATTGCTTGAGTTCCTCCTCCTCCTTTACATCCCCATCAAACTTTCAGTCATAGCAGGGGCCAAAAAAAGCCTCAAATAGGACAATCAAAGTCTGTTTGGTTCCCGGGTGCATCGTGTAGCAATAATTACCTTGCAAAGAAATATCTGTGATGTCAAGTCTGAGAGGAGGACTCTGGCACTGAATATAAAAAAGAATTCGCCTTTCAACCAGAGAGGTATTTCTCATATCCCAGGGAAAAATGCCACCTGGGCGTTCGACTTACTTTCACTTCTTTGTTTTCTTCTGAAGCATGATAAAGGCAGCATGTTGTGACTTCTTGATGGACTGAAATTTGGCTGAAGAGTTTGTGCCTTCCCAACTCTGCCCCCTAAAGCACTCACGAAAAGACAGATGTCTAGTAGGTATGGTTGTATTTTGGGGAGTTTATGGGTCTAGAATTAATGTGTGTTCTGTCTTGTATAGAAAAGAAATGCTTTCCTTTCCCCACACCTCAACTTGTTGCTAGCCATGCACTTGAAATTAACAGAAGCAGAGTCAATACACATAAAATACTTCATAAAAAAGACTTTAGGTTAGGACTGTTTCAAACAGCAGTGCAAAGAAATATTTCAACATTCAGGTAATTCAGAGGAAGCAAGGAGGGGTGCCTCTTACCTGGGCTTCTCTCACTATCCCGTTCTTGGTGCAGTTTCCACTTTGTGAGCTGTCTTTCTGTTTCCTGCGATTGTGAAGATTCCCGTTGCAAACAGCACCACCTCCAGGATTAGCCATCTGTCTGATATGATGGAATCTGGCAGATTTTCCTCCAGAGGTTCTTGGCAAGTTTTAATAAGTGGGTGAGGGAATAGAAGAAAGACCTTTGGGCTGAACCCTTGAAGGAATCGCACTAATCAGCCTCTTCTTCCAGAAGAAGCAGCAGCCTATCTTCTAGGCAGATCTTTGAAACTAAAAACAAATGGTTACCTTTGCACTCCTCAACTCAGAATGTGGCCTCCATGGCAACAAGCCTGCTTCTGAAACTATAAGGGAGATTGTCCATGCTGGCTTCTCGGGTGGCCAGCGGAAACCAGGAGACTGCAAAACCTAGTGACAAACTGGGAGAGGCGGGCTGGGAGGTGGAATCTTTTAAAGACACACACACACACACACACACACACACACACACACACACACACACACACACACACACACCAGGCACAGAGAGACTTCTCAGTACAGCCATCCTGAATTTACCTCTGGGAGGTGGAATCTTTTAAAGACACACAAACACACACACACACACACACACACACACACACACTTCTCAGTACAGCCGTCCTGAATTTACCTCTATCCCCCAGCTCCTCCCTCCAGCATCTAATTATTATTTCTGGTTGTAAACCAAGCTCAAAGTCAACATTTCTTTTCACTGTAAAATAGCATTCAGAAGTGGTTGCCAGGGGCTGGCTAGAGGGAGGGGAGAACAGGAAGGGAGTGTTTAACGGGCACAGAATTTCAGCTGGGGAGGTTGCAGAGTGTTCGCAACTGATGGTGGTGTTGCTTGTAAAACAATGTGAATATGCTTACTGCCACTGAACTGTAGACACAAAAATGATTAAAATGTTAAGTTTTATGTGAAGTATATTTTATAACATAAAAATGGAAAAAAACTTTCAGGATTCCCCTAATGTTAAAACCAGTCATACAATGAGAGCTACTAAGTCATCGAGAATTCCAGTAAGACAGAACTCTGGGAGACAGAATATTGGTTTCTTGTTAGGGCTGCATTATCCTTATCATGTGCCCTTGGGGGAGCTGTTTACGCTCTCTCCCCCACCCCCACCGTCTCTCTCTTTCTTCTTTTTTTTTAAATCAGTTTCTTTACCTATAAAATAAGACAAAACATTGTTAGTGAGTTAATGTATGATGGAGTGGTAGGAAAATGAAACTGTAGCTTGGGTATGCCACCCAGCCCCTGAGCTCCTCTGGTTACCAATTAACTCTTATTCCCTCAATGCACCAGTCACCAGAGGCCTGCTTTCTCTTATCAGCATCAAATAGCATTTGTGGCAACATGATTTGTTAGATAGTGTCAGTCATTTACAGCTTGCTGAGTCCTCTCAAGCTCACCCTTGTGGCTCTCTGAAAGGAGATTTCTTTGTTAACATCAGGCACTTCAAAAAGAAAGCCATTTATTGGGTCAATGGACAAAACTGAACACTCACATAAAATAGACAAAAATAAAACAAAAACAAAACAAACCCAAATAAAACAGAAATGACTTCTGTTGTCAGAGCTCCATTTCTTGGTCCTCAGCTCTCTGGAAGGGTTTGTTTCCCTCCCAGAAAGATGTGGCTTACAGAGGAGGTGATGACAATGCTTCCCTTAACCATGCCTCGCATGTGAGGATTGCCATTTTTTCCGCCTCAGGGAAAGCTGAAGTAATAAATAAGGTTTTGGGCCAAATGATGGGATGGAGTTAATATCATGTGTGCCCAGCCCTTTGTGTCTCATGCTCAGACTTTTTATTAGGCTCTCCCAATCTTTGTCATCGGAGTAGAACTAGCTTTTCATTGGTCCTTCTCTTCCATGGCTGTAACACTGGGAGTTAGGGGCTAAATCTGTGTGTTGGTTGGTTTCTTTCTAGATTTATCCCTACAACAAGATGAATAGGTAGGATGGAGCGCTGATAGCTGTTGGCCCCATTGCCTCAGCTTACTTAGACATGTTATAGACACAGTGTTATTTTGACTGAACACTATTGACCTGCACAAAGTTATTTTTTAAATAAGGGTTTTGAGATAAACTGAATTCTGAATATTAGATGTTTCTATCCCTTCTTCTCTTCTTCCTTCCCCTTCCCCCTCTTTTGAATTTCCAATTTGCCCTTCCCTCCTCCCCTTTTCTTCTTCCTCTTTTTCTTCTTGTTTTTATTTTCTTCCTACAAAGGGACAAAAAACATACATAAAGAAAACATCTCAAAACACACCTGGAATCTGTGTTTTTTCTACTTCCACCTGCCAAGGGTAATTACACATCAACCTTCAGGATATACCTACAGCACATCCTCACTCCTGAAATAGTCATGTTTCCACTTTACTTGCTGTATTAGAATATATGGGAATCGCTGTGTGCACACAAACGTCTTCAGCACTAACCATTTGGCGTCAGGCACTGTGAATGTGTATAACCAGTGGTGGCTCATTGTTTCACATTATCTCCAGCCAGAATAAGTGTGGAGGTCTGTTTGAATGAGTGGTAGCTTGGAGCTTACAAATATAGTTTGCCATAGTCTGAATGTTTGTGTTCCTCTAAAATTTATATATTGAAATTGTAACCACCAAGATGAAGGTGTTCCGAGGTGTGGCTGTTGGGACATGAGTCATGCTGGGGGAGCCCTCAGGAATGGGATTAATGCCCTCTTAAAATCACAGAGCTCCCTTGCCTCTTCAGCCATGTGAGTTTATAGTGGACAGATGTGTGTCCAGGAAGTAAGCCGTCACCAGAAACTGAATATTCCAGTGACTTAATCTTGGACTTCCAGCCTCTGGAGCTGTGAGAAATAAGTATCTGTTGTTTATGAGCTACCTACTTTATGCTATTTTGTGATAGCAGCTGGAAAGAACTAAGACATCAATTAACACTAACACACAGACTAAATATTGGATATGAGGTGATGTCTCTGAATAACTACATGAATTTCAGATCAACCAGTAAACTGAACAAATGTTTGAATAACTACTATCTGTTAGTTATTTGCTAGGTCCTTCCATACAATAGTGAACAAGACATATGCGGTTTCTACCCACACAGTGATGCCGGGGTTCTTGTTTGCAGAGTCGAAGAATGAACTTAGCAGACACCCAAGGTAAGAAAGCCAGGGAGAGGCTTTTATTGAGAGATACAGTGAGAGGACAGAGCCCGGTTCATGCCAGGAGGAGATAAGAGAGCCTGGGGTGGTGTGCTGTCTAGGGGATTTATAGGCAGTTGAGGATTTTTGGGAACTGATAAAGGGCTTAGGTGTGTGGACTTGTTAAAAGTGGTCTTAGGATATTTGTCCTTGATGAGACATTAAGTCCCTTTTAGCATGCTAAAGTGAATCCTGCACATGATTACAAATGATTAGCATAATGAAAACATGGGCTATGCTGAGATATTTTCCTTTATCTGGGGAATATCAACTGATCTCACTGAAGAACGACTCTAGAGTTTAGTGTTTAACAAGGAGTTTTGGTAGGGGGTTTCCTTGCATCTAGTTACATTGCTCTGACTGTAAATATCCTGCCTTGCTTTTACCAGAGGCCCTCACCTTATTCTGTCTAAGCCCATGGTCCCTGTCTCAACAGGACTGAGTTAGCAGCACCTGTATGCTCAGGGTATCTCATTAGGGAAGGTAGAAAGAAACCAGCCCATTAGTGCTCTTTTCTTCTCTATGGGAGAAGAAATTCTGAGGTATGTTCTCAGTCTCTCAAGTCCTCTGTGGGATTGTGTCCCTGTTACCTTCAGCAGTAGCCTTCTTGTGAAAATACCTATTATTTGTTAGCTTTCGTTCCTTCCTTGTTTTACATATTCACCTTTCTGAAAATGCCTGCCAAATAAACTGCTTGAACCCAAATTCTTCTCGCAGAGTCTGTTTTGGGGGAATCTCAACAAAGACAAGTTAAGCCCTAGTTAGCCCATCAGATCTTTTCATCAGAGATTTAGTTGGATATTTTAAATGATTAGTATTAGATTGCTCTGAAGATTAAGAGAGGTGTATATGGAAAAATTCAGTATGTTCACTGAGTAAAACCTCAATACACTTGAGAGAGAGAAAGAAAGTTGTACACTTGTGTTTCCCATAGGAGACGTTTGTGGGATATGTAAGAGAGCCTCTGCCACCTTAGGAAGGAAAGCCATAAACTTTGAGTTTTAATATCAGAAAAGTGTTAAGCATTCAAATGAGTAACAGGCTCTCAAAAGTCATTTAGAATGTGTTTTATCTACAGAAAAAGTAAAACTAGCTTATTCTTTCTTTAAAGCTTTGATGCGAAGAAATCCTTTTGTTTCTTGTCAGCAAAGAGGGGTAAATGGAAAATATATAGTCATTATCTGTATTTTCTACTGATGCCATAACAAATTTTCGCAAAATTGGCTGTAACAATGCAAATTAATGATCCGACAGTTCTTTAAGTCAAGAGTCTGACATGGTCTCATTGGGCTGAAATCAAGGTATCATCAGGGCTACATTCTTTTCTGGAGGCTTTAGGGCAGAATCTGTTTCCTTGGCTTTGCCACCTTCTTGAGGCCACTCACAGTCCATGGCTTACGGCTCCCTTCCTCCATCTCCAAAGTCAGCAATGTCACCTCTCTCCAGCCTTTCTTCAGTCATACATCTCTGGCTGACTGGAGCTGGGAAAGGTTCTCTGCTATCAAGAAATCATATGGTTGTAACGGAGGGCAGAGAGCATTAAGAGTCAGGAAAAAGAACTAATGACACTTAACCTGACTGCCTAGAGCGAGAGCCACCCAGTCTTTTCTTGTGTAAATTACCTGAGGCTTCTGAGAAATGCGCCTACCCTAAGTTAGATAACTAGAAGTGGGCAACAGCCTGGGAATGCTTGGGGATGTAACCCGTGATAAGTCACATAGACATGCTTGGGTAAGCAAGAGATAACAATTGAAGCAGGCAGGCAACTGGTGCGTTCCCTAAAAAGGTTACAATGTTTCCCATTGGTTACAATATAGAGTGTGTTTTAAACCTATTAGTTGTAGAACTGCGTGGGCTTTAGTGTAACAGCTGTGAAGATCCTATATAATCAGTACCCAAAGTTGCTTCGGGGTTGGCAGCTTGGACTCGGCCTGCATGTCAGGGGAGGTGCTGTCGACCCCAGCTTGCTGGCTGAATAAAGACTTTGCTTGGATTTTCATCTCCGTGTCTGTGTGTCTTGTTCTCTGGGAAACCCCGGAGTCCTAGACCCTAACATTTGGGGGCTCATCCTGGATCCGTGCGACTTCTCTGAGAACAAAACTGGAGGCAAGGTCTAATTGTCCGGACCGGGCAGTGTAATTCGAGGGTCGCCCCCTCGTGTCTGCGTAAATCCATTATAAAGTGGGAGTTGCCATCCCGTGTATGGTCTCGGGTTAGTGACCCCGAGTGAGAGAGTCCGGGTTGGTAGTCCCAGCCCCCAGGTT